CCATCGGCAGACCGTGCAACAAAAAGCACGAATGCATGTAATCACACCTGATGTCTCACCTCCACCTCCGGACCCCCGATGGCGGTGAAGCTAACGGGCTTCAGGTGCCAGTAAAATCACTCAGCGACCAGCATCTTCCCTGAATCGGACCACTCCGCCAGAAGGCGGTCAGTTTCTCAAGATCTAGATTGGCCACATTGCTCGCGGCTCAGTCCTCACCAGAAGCCGATTGTATGCAAATCAGACAAAGTAGAACCTTTTTTTTCTGAATCTAATGAAGAATCTCGAAGCTTGCTGGGGCATTCCGCTTTTCAATCTTTCGTGCGCGCACGAGGCAGGTTTGGGCACTTGGGCTTCTGTACAGTTGGACCATGGTTCTGCTCACGAAACCAAAGTTCATGTACCCTCGGTCCTTGAAATTATTCTTTCCGGTTTGGATCACATGCTTCAAAAGTATTGAGACAGTTTCAGAACCCAGTGAGCGTAGAAACGGCTTCGTATGCCATTAGGTGTGAAAAAAGACTTCTCTTAAAAAGACGGACAACCTTTGCAGATCGTGCCAGAATACAAAACAAGTGTATCAATTTATGCCACTCCAAACCATGTGGCAGTGGAGGTTGATGCTACGGACGCACCAGGTGAGGAGATGGGGTGGGTATGTTTCTGGAAGGGTAGACAGATGTGGTGAACATTAAAAAGATAGCTCGAAGAATTTGATACGAGCGTGAGACAGATGTCAATTGAGGGCGCGTTTCCCTGCCTTGCTTCATGTCGAGGATTGACGGGCTTCACCTTGAGAAAGAACAAAGGATGTCCTATTTTCCGGGCTCGTCTGGAATGGAAAGAGGTAATTATGTCACCGCTACTTCGGAAAAACAAATCAGTTCAGTCACCGCTACTTTACTCTAAATGTGGCACAGAAAAAAAAGGACCCTGAAACCTGGACCTTGCAGGTTTCGATTCTTTTTCGGGGCGTTGAATGGTGCCCTGCGCAGGTGAGGGCCTTGAAACGGTCCACGTTCGCTTGAGAAGCCTAGCTTTGCCAAAGCATCTGGGATCCGCTCCTGGCTTGCCTTACGGGAAGATAAGTCCAAAGTTTCATGTTTATATCCCTGATTGATGCTCAGTTTGTAGCTTGTCAGCTAGACGTCCTGACCTCTCCCAGAACCTTTCCACCGATGGCTAAACACCTTAGGGAAGAAAGAGTTCAAGTCGATCAAATGCGGCTGGACTGGTGGCCGTATATGCTCTCCCCAAGGGAACTCTGTAGGTTCCAGTCAGTGTTCTATCAATGCGTTTACATTTGGAGCTCTTCGAAACCTCCAGAAATGAATTTGCTCGAAAACTGCCGGTGGTTTGCCGACTGCTGCATTGCACGGGCCCGCTGATTTGATTGCGCAGCCTGGGCTTATGGGAGCAGAGGAAGGAGGTACTTCACGCAATGGTCCAATCGGATTCGCTGGTTGAATATACGTCCAGCCGTGCGCCAGGGAAGCAAATGAGTTCAGTTACTCGTACTTTGGTGTGCCTCACAAAAGAAGACCCACGAACCTAGGTTTCAATCTGTGTTTCGGTTTGGCTGCCGGTGCCCCATTCTGGAGCTCTGACCCTTGAATGTCTCTTTCCTTTGCAAGTGAAGGCCTTGAAACGGTCCACGTTCCATTGAGAAGCCTAGCTTTGCCAACGAAGTCTGGGACCCGCTCCGGGCTGGGCTTTTGACAGGTCAACTCCGTCTTTGTTGTCCACGCGAAGACCCGCTGGACATTTTCATGCTTATATCCCTTAAGTACCCCGAAAAACGTAACTACCCTTTGAGGACGTAAGTCAGGAGGCCTAGGGCGTAACCAGACTAAGCAGTGCTGATTGCTATGTAGCTCCTCAGATATGCACCCTGACCTCTCCCACAACTTTTCCAACTAATTATGGGGGAAAGGCTCCACGTCGATCAAGGCCGGGCCCACCGAGAGGGTATCAGCCTGTATAGTGTACAGATTGCGCTCGTGCCCAGCAACGTGGTCTTGCGGATCGCTGAGCAGGAAACACTTTTCGCATTTTTCGAATTTTCGAGTTTTCGCCTTTTCGCGCGTCTGGCGTCCCGGAAACAATTTTCGCACTTTTTGATTTTTTGCGTTTTCGCCCTTTCGCGTGTCTGGCGTCCCGGAAACACTTTTCGCACTTTTCGACTTTTCGCGTTTTCGCCTTTTCGCGCGTCACTTGCGAACTGACGGCCGCAAAACATTTGTCGAATTTTCGCGTTTTCGCTTTGTCCCGGCCCACCTGCACACAAGAAACACTTCAACTTTTCGAATTTTTGGGTTTTCGCGCCGCCCCCGGCCGCCTCCGCGTCGGGAACGACACAAAAAAAACAACACAGTGACCATCTTACACCGCGATGGGTTGCAGTGGTGTTGGGCCCAGGCACCGCCGCCAGCCACCAGTACCTCTGTCCAGGCGAGGGGGCCGCAAGAGGAGTAGGGGATGGGTGGAAGCACGGGGTTCGTGTGGTTCGTTGGTGGGTTTTGCTGCCTTGCCTGTGTTCCTTCCATCTGCCTTTTTGATGCACATGGGAGTGCACGAACGGCTGATGATGGCTGATCTTGGAGTTCAAACGTGCTGTGAAGTGAATGGCGAGTTGGCGAATAGAAGCTGCTCTTGTTTTATGAATGTCGTGTGGGCTGCAGCCCGGGGTGTCATGTGAGCATGCCCCGAAGGAGAGCTTTCGATAATCAAGGCTTCCTTCCTACCTGGTGACCTGGTAGGTTTGATTCGACTCGAGTGATGTCATCATATTTTTGAAACTCAGATGGTCAGAGAGTCTCACACCAATTCTGCGAGGATGCACCTCCTCCAACAGGGCCTCCCTGCCGCCATGCCTCACACCCTCGCCGCTGAGGCGCCTCCGTCCATCAGCCCCAACGAGGCGGTGAAGAGGGATTGAGTATATATATATATATATAGACCCTTTGGTCGGGCGAACTCCGTGGGAGTTTGGAGATCGTTTGGCGTCAGGCGGCGTCCAGCGACACTGCGCCGCTGAAGGTCCCAGCGGCCGTGGGTGCCACAGAGCCAGCAGCGAGGGGGTGCAGATGTTGGAAATGGGTTTATGGGATGCAACTGCAGAAACGACCCATATAATCCCATATAATCCCATGCAAAATTATACCAGCAATTACCAGCATAGACCCCAAACAGTTTCAAAACGATTCCTTTTGACCAATGTTAGGTCAAAAGATGTCAAAAGTATATACTGTAGATTCCTGTAGCGTCCCCACCGGTTTCGGAGTTTTGGGGTTCTTCTTTTTGGCGGGGGCCCTCCATGAGGCGCCTCCTTCTTCCGCCTCGGCTTCGAGGTCCCTGCAGAGGACTTGGACTTCGCCGATTTTCAGTCAGCGGCTGCCACACAGAGTTAATCCTTTGGACCCTGACTCGGAGGATCCGGCGCGACGCGGTTAGGGGGATAGACATGCCGAGAGCTGGTCACCAGCTGGGCCGGTTGCCCCAAGAGGGAGGCGCCGACTCCATGCCCAGGGTCCTGGTTGAAGGTAAGGCTGCGCCCAAAAGAAGCGCGCAGCGAAGCTGCAAAGCCGTTCACCACAGAGGAAAGGCGACCAAAAATGATCGTCCGCATCGATCTGAGATCGCCGACCTGCAGACCTATATAGGCGCTGCTATCTCCCCAAAGGGAGGGAAGTTTTTCTCGTTCACGACCGGGCGGTGAAACAAACCAAGTCTGTGCTGTTGCATGTCACGAGCAGTCGCAGGGAGCTCCAGATTTTGCGGCGAACCGGCTCGAACAGGCAGTGTCATTGCCAACTTTCACTTCAGCCCAACAACAGACAAAAGCATCAGCAAAGGGTCAGAGCAAAGAGCCTCAAGTGACCAAAGAGCCTACACTAACCACAAAGCCTAGTGAATTCATGAGAAGAACCTGTTGTTGGCTTTGCGTTCTTTGTTTTTATTGTTTTGTGTGTGATTTTCTCCTTCGCTTGCCTCACTTCCTTCAGTCAGACCAGGCTTGGAAGTCAGGGCGGTCGTTGCAGTCTTCAGGTCTCGGCGGTCTTCGGGCGCGGTCGTTTCCCAAAGACACACGCTGAAGACCTGAAGACCTGAAGACCTTCCAGATCTCCTTTTTGGAATTCCGGGATCTCCTTGAAACAGTGACCCAAAATGGCCACCAAGTGTCTCAGGACATCCCTAGTCTTGCACCTCGTACGGGTGGGCCAGTGAAAATCGTTTGGAGACCGTGAGGTTAGAAAGATCTCCACCAGTTCTGAACTGGAAGTTGCCATGATGGACTAAGTGGCACATGTACTAAGCTCACGTTTTTCATTCCACCAGTTCTCTCTTTTGTGCCAGGTGGTCGCGGTAAGGCCATGCAGCTGCTCGGCAGAACGATGAAGAATCTGAGTGACTGATGGAAGAAGTCATTTGTAGGATAGACTCAGAATTGAGCTGTTTTCTTGATGCAGCCTGCAGTCTGAAGGATTTTCCTCCACTTTCTTGGGGTCTTTCCGGGCCAATCCCTGCCCAGGACCGACGGAGGAGGTCCGACCGCTGAGGCGAGGGTATGTCATGAAGGGGTGATTCCAGGTGTTTCTTCGAGCCAAAGATTGGCATCTCTGACCCCGATCTCAAAACAGAAGCACTGACTTGGCAAAGAAGACCGGGAAGTCAGACAGTGCTTTAGCTTACGCGATGTTGCATGTCACTTTTTGACAACGTTTGCCTCACGGCCTGACCACCTGAGGTACCGCAGAATTCAGATCCAGAAGCTGCGCCAGCTGCACCAGCTGTGTCCAAGCCTGCAAGGGAGCCTGCCCAGGAAGAGCCTGCCCTGCACCAGAATGGCACAGCTGAGGAGGTGCGGAGTCCGGAGGGAGCCACATCAAAGTGGGAGAATCATGCCAACATAGTCACACACACACACACACATTCTTCACGAGCCCCAAGAAGTACGGCTTCAACTTCCTTCGTGAAGCCCCGAGTTCTGGGGCGACAGGTGGCCAAGCAACCTCCGGCCCCTCCGGCGGCCACAGGGCTCGGTCCTCAGATCGCTTCGTGCGCACGTCCAGCACCGGGAGATGTGTAGCTGAGCAGCCGGAGATCCATGCGGACGTGCATCCTCCAGCTGCTTGTTGATTTGGCCCTGTCGCACAGATCTCAGATCTTTGCCCCAAGCTTCGCGGGTAGATGAGGTGTCTTGACACTAGCAAAGATGAGTCGATGTACTAAGGTAGCCGGAGTCAATATGAGAATCTGGCTTGGAACCCTGTTCCAAACATTTGAGCACAGTCACATGTTTGGAGCATTCAATTTTCAGAGGAGCATTCCAGTACTCACCTCCCAAGTACCCAGTCCCGTGTCTCCCTTCGTTCCTCGTTCTGAGCCCGCCGCGGAGCGCCATGCCACGCGAGCGGGAGCTAGAAGGCTCGGTCCGTGATTGCGATGCACTGGAGACCTTGACCGACAAGCTGAGGAGAGGTGGATCGACGCGTTGCACCATCAGAGTGGCAATGTTTGTTGGCTTGCTTGTTAGTTTGTTTGTCCTTACTTCAGCTATAGGAAGAGGTGCCTGTGGGCGCTTTGGAGCCTGGGTGCTCGTGCTGCTGCAGGGTGCCGCTGCCAGATGTGTGGCGGTGTGCGCTTTGGACGCTCCAGGGTGCTGCTGCGAGATGTCTAGCGTGTACGTGTGACGGCCTGCGTGCCGGTGCTGGAGGGCGCTGCAGGGTGTGGCTGCAGGGTGCAGCTGCGTGTGGTTTCGAGCCTGCATGCTCGTGCCGCTGCTGTGGTGATGCCCACATCTTGTGCTATTTGGGGTCTATGCTGGCGTCGTTGCCTTATTTTTCTCAAGCGTTTCTCACCTGAAGCGGCTTCCCTGCTTGGTCTTCCTGACTCCTTCATCGGACCTGCCAGGATTGCTGCTTTCTGTCGGGGTGCCTTCGGACTCTTCCGAACCTCGACCCCCCTACCTGCCCTACCCTGCCCAGGAGCGGCGAGTTCTCCGAGGCGATCTCCGCCGCGCAGCGGGCGTCCGAGCAGGGTCCGCTCTGCGTGCGGGCGGACGGCGGCGTGAAGCGGGCGGATCCCTACGTGGCCTTCGCAGGCGCGGGGCCGAGGTCGAACGAGGGCGCGAGGTCGTGGGCGCGCAGCGTTTTCGGCGTTGTGTGCCGTGGCGGCACGCAGTTTCATTGTGTTTCATTGAAGCTCATAGAGGGTCAAGACAAAGGTACTTAATGAGAGTTTGAAACTGCACAGTCCTTTCAGCATACAAGGTTCCTGAAGGTCTCACACCAGCCTTTTGACACGACCCCGCACGACAAGGTGCACCTTCGGCCCAAATTTGCCTTCGAAAAGGCTGCGCGTCCTCACGCACACGTGCTGCCTAGTTGGCAGCGGAGCCTGTTTGGCGACCGTTTGCCCTGTCCTTCCACGCCATGCCGCTGACGCCGACCGCTGCTGGAGACGACCCGGATGACGATCCGGCTGATCGCTCGCCGCTGGATGGTGGCGCTGCTGGCGCTGGGTGGCGCCCCACTTTAGATGGTTCTCTCCCGACGAGCCGGGCGACCAGCCTGGATTCCGATGCCCGCCTCGAGCCCGATGAGTTCTGGGCTTGCCTGGCCTGTGGCTCGGGCGACTACGTGTGGGATGAAGACATCCTGGAGTGGAGATGCCCCAACTGCGGATCGAGCCAGTTCTCTTCGCGGCCATTCGGCCCTGGTGTGGACGGAGCATGGTTCTTTGTTCCCAGTGGCCTTTTGAGTTCTGAGTCCAATCCACTAGCAGCACCAGGTATGAGCACCACTACATCATGGACTATGCCAAGGATCATGGCGTCGCAGCCTGGTCGACCCCTTTATGGACCTTGTCGCCGATCTCATGACCACGGACCTGGACAACCCCACGTACCTTTTGGTTTTGGGCAGCCGCTACAACCTAGCCGGTCCGGATGGCAACCTCCCCAAGTCCATGGTTACCCTCATAGAGCACCTCAAGAAGACCCCGACGGGTTTTGGGAGTCCTCCAACAAGGAGGCAGCTGAAAGTGAGGCACCGACACATGATCCAAGTGTTCATCCAAGTGACCCACCAGGTCCGACCACGTCCCCATCAGGAGCTTCCTCGACGGCTTCCCGGAGGAGGCGAAGGCGACGACGTGGAGGACCAGGTGATCCATCAGGTGACCCACCAGGCGATCCGCCAGGCGGCCCACGAGGTGACCCACCTGACGAACCAGATGATCCAGAATATCCTCTACCAGGTCTGCCATCATGGGGAGGTGGGGGGACCCACTTCAGGGGGACCCACTTCATCATAGTCTTATGATGGTGGTATATCTTCAAATAAACATAAATTGAAGTGGGTCCCCAAGAAGTGAATCCCTGGGGTCGGAACACGAACTGACGCGAAACAGTCGTTGCTTCGACCGATCACCCCTGGGTTCGACCAACGACCCGCTCACGAACTGACGATCCAAATAATAAACTGACTGCGCGTTATCATTTCTTTCGCATTGCGAGTGATCACTCACTTGGGCTTAGCATCTTTTGCTTTGCCCTTTGCCTTCACCTTTGGTTTCTTTGAAACCTTCAGTGGCGATGGTGGTTTCTTTGTCTTTGACAAAGACTTAGATGAAGCCGACGCTGTTGCATCATCCATGGGAGTATCCACGGGTTGATCCACTGTGGCGGAATCTTGCGAGCACTTGAAACCAGTCCGTTCGTTGAATGCGGCCAGCACTGCTTTGATTGACTCGTCTGTAGGCCTTGGATTTGTCAAAGGTGACGAGTCGTCACACTGATTCGATGTCAAACAAATAAGGCAACACAAAAGCGGTGCCACAAAAACTTATAGCATAGTTAATAAAATCAAAAGCACATTACCTCACGCGACGTAGGGTGAACTTGCTCGTGAACCCTCCAGACCCAAAGGACCACTTCCGAACACGCTTCAATCTCTGACATCATCTTCTTTTTCCCATGCCAATACGTAGCATGGCTGTACATTCGGTCTGATTCACCTGAGTCAGTCAGTCTGGACTTCACTGTGGACTGGTGTGGGTTGCCGCCAATTCAGTCTTACCATTTAGATACAGTGATCACAACTAGGTCCCAACTTCTTACCAGTCACCAAAAAATAAAATCAAAAGTCAACAAAAGTCCAGTTACTAGGAATGCCCGTTTTCTCATCGACAAATCCCTTTGGGACAGTGTAGAATCCCTGATAGCGCTTCAACGCCGGATGTCCCGTAATTCGGCATCCTTGCGCATCAGAAGGAAGAAGATTCTTCATGGCAAGCGGCGTCTCATGTAGTTTGCCACTCGTAGGTGTGGAAACAGTTCTTGTGGCCCTCGACTCACGATGCTCTTTGAGCAGCCCCTCGTCCAACGCCACTTGCGCCAGTCCCGCAAATTCACGTTGCTCATCGGGATCCATCTTGCCAAAGGCTTTCAAAATGTCTGCGCTGTGAGTGCTTGCCTTGCTGCGCTGCAAGTGATTCCATTGCTGCCCCATGATTCCTTGAAGCATGCGCTTTTTCTCATCTGGGCTGCTGTCTGGACAGACATGTTCAATCAATGCCTCAGCAAAATCTCGCTTGACGAGATGTCCATTCTTCCCGTGCCCACATCCCTTCTTCGGAAGAGCAAACTTCAGGATCTGTTGCAGCTTTCCAAGCTGAGCACGGTTCAGGAAAATGCCGTGCTTGATGCCAGCCACGACCATTGGCTGCGGAGGCCCCATCTGCAAAAATGCAACAGTAAACTTGTCCCTCACATTGTCAGGTAGGAGAGCGGGGTGTTGAATCTGGATTGGAAGGTTCATCCATCGTCCAGCACGCGCTTCAAGGTCAACTGAATTGTTGAAGATCCACGTAGGGGTCAAGCTTTTGGGTCGAAGGTCAAATGCCCAAAACACCTTAGTTAGTGTGAAATATACGTAATTCGCCGGACCGCCGTCGTCGTCGACGTCGTCCCTCCGTCCGTCGTCGTGTCGTCGCCGTCGTCGGTCAGTCAGACAGTCAATCTCAAGACGGACAAGACTTCTTAAAAACATGTTGATGTGGAAGTCTTATGGCTCAAACGTGAAGTAGGGAACTAGTAAGAGCAATATTGTTTTTGGTGTGGAATGAATCAAATGAATCGAGTACAATGAATGATAAGACTCCAGAACCTCAAATTCATTTAGTTTAAGAAAAAACTGAACTTGTTGAGGTCCGAGGTTCTTGGCCATTGTGCTCATATTTTGAGAGACGAATGCCAAGTGCACCGCAGGATCTAAAGCCCAGGCTCATCACTGCGCGATCAATGGACTCACCCTCGGCCACTGCATACCCAAAGCAATGACCCTTCATAAAGAAGCATCCTGGCCAAGGTCCGATAAAGTACCTAATCTAGAGGTTGAATTCATTATTATTCACCTAAACATCTATTTATTTAAGAATCTATTCTGTAGCATTGAGCAGAGACTCTGGAAGCCAGTTTAATCTGCTGTCAGACAGACAGACAAACAGTCAGTCAGTCAGTCGAATGCACCATTTTGGGGGGAACACTTTGACACCTTGCCTGTCCATGCCATGGTGGCACTCGCGAAGTTGCTGGAAACATGGTTTGCAAGCCATGCAGATGCTGCGCTAGCTCTCTGGTTGCTTGCAGTCCCAGCTTTCTTCACGTGGCCCAGCTTCATATTCACAATCGCTCGTCGGACTGCGATCGGAAGAGGCAGCTCGGTCGACTTGAACACTTTGCCAGGGTCACGCCTTTTCAATGTCTTTGGGTTGACAAGATGGTCCTCCAAAGTTGTGGTGACCTGTGGCCATTGGAACTTCTCAGACTGCATCAGGCTCGGCAGTGTCGTAGCGTAAAAGAAACGGGTCCACCTCAGTCAGTGGCAGTCAGTCCCCCAAACATGCATTTCTCAAAGCCAAACAGTTCAGCTATGAATTGGGACCAAAAGTAATCCACTCAGGGGGTTGAGGTGATTTTGGGGCAAGGGCACTGACTGGACAAAAATCACACCATATCACATCATCTAAGGGACTTGTTCATTGGAGTGCTCTTGCTCGAAGTCTTACCCACTGAACTGAGGTGTGCAAAGCAATCCTCTAGGTCAAGCTTTGTATTGCAGGGGCCACCATGTAGATCTCGAGCAGCGTCTCTCAATGAAGTGTCCTCGCTGTTCCACTGGGACCGACAACACTCCACATGTATCTCCCTGGCCAGTTGCATTTGATTCCAGCACACATCGGCAAGGCGAGCTTTCAGTTCAAGCTGGACATCCTTCTTGATCTTCTGTGGATGTTTGACCAGCTGCTCAGCATGCAACACGGCGTCCCAGACCCTCTTTTGGAACTCCAGTAGCTGCTTTGCAATGGTCCGATCCTCGTGTAGAATCCCAACAAAATTGTTGGGGGCACAATTCACAAAGAACGACTGAGACCATGCCCGGCTTGATGCTAGCTCAATGAGCATAGTCACATATGCTTCCAAGCGCTGACATTCATCACGTAGCCAATCCATATCCTTTTCATCATCTTGCAGCCGCACGTTCACTGAAAGAAACCGGCTCAGCTCAGCGTGGTCGTGGAGAGTCCCAATACTGCTCAGTATGAATTGGTACCACTGACCTCCAGTACGCCGTGCTTGCCATTTCAGTGATTCCTCCTCAACATCATGAATGAATGATACAATTGTTCGATATTAACTCACGTCAGGGCCGGTAGTCCGGGCAGGCAGTGCTGGCGTTGACTGTAACGACTATTACTATTATTTTCTAGAACATTAGACAATAACAACCAGTCACATGACTGACTCGATCTGTCAATTAAGTTATCCAAATATTGTCTGACGGTGGAACCCTGGGACCCTGTCCTGTGACTTTTGAGATGCCAGACCGCCAGTATACTCATGAAGATATGGAAGTGTCGCAATGTAGACCATACGGCACTCATCTCTCAAGTCCAGGTCGTGGTACAAATGAGCAGTGAGCGCAAGTGTGTTTTCAAAACGGTCACGAAGTTCCTGCATTGCAGCCTTGGTGGTTGGCCTAGTGGTTGCCGTTCCAACCGCTTCAGGTTTGTCCTCGCTGGGAGCGGCTTCACCAACCT